GGGATAATATGGGACAATATTAGGGTAGTATTGGGCTTTTATAGGGATAATGGAAAAGAAAATGGAAACTACTATAAAGTACCATACCCCTTAGGGGCATCTGAAAAATACCCTGTAAGGGTTCCTAGCTCCTAGAAAATTATCACGTAAAAGCAGATGGTGCTAAACTGGAGGCTCTACTTTGTAGATCATCCCAAGGATCTGAGTAGGCCTCTGACGAATTCCGGTCCATCCCTGATGATTCTCTAGGATCCAGTTCTCTGCAACCAAAAAAAATATTCCTGAAGGTCCTTTAGAATCCTCGTCACAGAAACCCCAAGCCGTATGGGTACAAACCTGAAACTCTTGACTAATGAACAGTGATTCTAGCGGAATTGCACACAAGAATTGTTCGAGTTGACCTTTGAAAATGCCGGGGCTTAGGCTGCAGTTCGCATCTCCAATCAAGGCAGAAGCATCTTTTCTGGAGGCTAGCCTTCAAGTGGGATGTCTTGCAAGTAGCTAAAAAAGCTCACAGCGAAAACTTGTTATGTGCAAAGATCCTCGCACTAACCCCTGGAAATCCCAGTGATCCAGACACAATATTTGCAACCTCCTTCGAACCCTGAAGCCTCCTGCCCCCGGGCAAGGACACCCAGTCCTTCACCCGTGATGCGATGTGCTGAACACCCTGGCCGATTTCTTGGAGGTAAAGATGGACATGGCCCACCTGATCCATGTCTGAATATTGTGGAGGTTCCTAGAATGAAGGGTACCAGATTTGGGGCCCCAAAGCCAATGTGGTTTTTGGGTCTCTATTGTGGCCCCTCCATTTATGGAAACTACCCCCCCGTTTGCAAGCTTTTGGGCTGAGGGCGGCAAAAAGGGAATGCACGGTGCTTTATTAAGGATCATAGGCTGCAGATTCAGCTCAGATTGACAACCATGGGTCATCTTCCAAGGATTCTTGTGGAGAACATCCTCCTTTTTGGGTATAGGAGAGGAGACACCTATTTCAGATTGTTCAATTCATGGTCCAAAGGGGGGAGTCCGGGCCTTCTTTGCGTCAAGCATCCGTCAGAAAACTAACTACAATCCCCTCGCATGAGACAGAAAAATCGGACGGACTGGCATTACAGGCATTACATCCTATGGATTCCTGCGCCTTGGTGTTTGTTCGAAGGGCCTCATCCCCTGCCCGAGAATTCCTGAACCACCCCGTGAGTTTGGCTTGTCTCACAGGCGGCATTCAGCCATGTCAGTCTTGTCCCAAGCTGTCTCAAGATACACTCCAGGTGCCCAATTCTCAACATCTGTGGGAGACGTCGAATCCCTGTCAAACTTCAATGCTGCCAACCCAAATCTCCCTCCGCCCGCCACTACATGGATTGCATCAGAAATTGGCCTCAGAGAGGGCGTTGTTGATCGGCAGGTATACCTGGACATGTGGCAACTCCCATCATCAGGCCAGGCCAGCGCGTGACTTGTACGCTGCTGAGCCCCTAAACCCCTTGGGCCCCCAAACCCGTACTCTCCAAACCCCCAAACCGAAGCGCCAAACCTCGAGAACCCACCAGGCCTAAACTCAGCCTGCATAAAGCCCAAACCCCGAAACCTTTTCCTTGGAATTCCGCAAGCTACCTGGCTCTGGTCCTTCAGCGCCACTTGTTCATTGGCCTGTGTCATGGCGAGGTGTATTTTAAGGCCAAAGAGTTGAGAGGTCGCTCACACTTGAGGCCGGGGGATTTACTGGGACCTTTGGGAAATGTGAGGCTATGCACAAACGCAAGATACTCCAGCGCGCAACTTTTGGTCTACATTTCAAAGAGTTTCTGGCGTCTGCTGCAAATGGGGGATCATTTCAACGTCAAAGCCCGAACAATGCATTCGTGGCCACGTGGGAAGCTACTGGTTTGAGGCATGGCCAGCTGGTCCTTTGACTTCAATCCATAGCACGTGGAAATAACTAAGCTACCCATCCATAAGCTACCCAAGTTATATAACCCTGAAGGATCAGAAGTAGACCAAGTGGCGATGAAAGTCCCCGGCTCGTTCCCGGTAACTGTGGATTCGATCTGAGCTTCGCCGGCTGCGACCACCCCAGCATTGAAGTCTACCTGAAGGGTTCCTAGAAGCTGAGGCTTATTGTGGGGGAGCAGTAAACCTCAATGCGCTCAAAACTTGAGAAGTCCGTTCTTTTCCATTATCCCTATATAACCCCTATATAACCCCATATGAGCCCTACACGGTCCCTATAACACTCCTTATAAAATCCCCATAGTACTCCCTATATGATCTGAATATCACCCCATCTAGCCCCTATATGATACAAATCTCCTGCCTTCGGACTGAAGCCCAAGGTGTCCTCCAAGGTGTCCAGGAAGCCCCGTCGGCTCACCTGAGTCAGAGACATTCCTGTGGCATCCGAAAAAACATCATTCCTTAGTAGAGTATGACACAGACTAGGGCGACAGGCTTTTTATCCGGAACCTATTTTTCCCGTCCTATCCTTAACCACGGAATCTACTTTTTCCACCCCTTAACCGCCCATCCTGACAAGTTGGCGGGGGTCGGTAGAAGAGCGGACGACGAACCTGAGCAAACCCCGAAAAGGCAAAACAAACTTGGACGAACCCTGGCGTGGTTAGGCGAACCTCCAAGTAGGGGCTGACGCACTCCCCCCAATTTAGGCAGGCGCCTTCTTGAGGAAAGTCACTCTCCTTCTACATACGCAGATGGGGGAGTTTATACCAGCTTCGGCTTTTCGGATGAGGCGGTCAAGCACCGTCAGTGGTTCGCCCGGGTCAAAAAGATAAGTGAGGGGGCCAAAAAAAGGAGGTGGTTAAAAGATGCAAGGGGTTGAAAAAAATATGGGGCCCTACAGAATATGATGAAAAATCTTCTGCGTGGGTTTGGAATATTCCTGACAAACTGACAAACGGAAAAACGCTTCCAAAACTGGCCCAGTCACGACATTGCTAACCTTGTGGATTGTCAAAGGAGTGAGATTTTATAGAAGTTTTCCAAGAGTTCGCGTGCAGGGACTGTGCATCACTGGTTTTAGGACTAGGGTCCAGAACTGTTTCATTCATGTGGACCCCCAGGAGCTTGAAAGTCAACCATGCCCCACCTGAGCATGAAAATCACTACCGGACCCCTTGTCAAATACTTGTGGAACCGCTTCCTTAATGGCTCATCCCTTCTTCTACCAGCAGTAGGAGTTTATTGTAGGGGGAGAGGCTTCAAACAGGACATGTCAAAAGGGTTCTCGCAAGCAGAATCATGAATGAAGAGACTGATGAATGGTTCCTGTTGAACGCGTTGCAATCTCCAAACCCAGAGACGCGACCCTTTTGAGGTTAAAAGTTTCTTGCACCAAAATCTTGCGATGCTTCTTGTGTTTATGGAACCCGATCGGAATTGTGGGTGGAGGTCCACGTGATGTTCACCTTGTATGCGGCCACCTTTTTTTTCTTTTTAAGTAATGGGGCCGAGCCAACTTGTTGGATAAACCTTGCGTTTGAACAGCGCCATTGGGAATAATTCCCTCCCCTATTATTACATTCCCCCACCCCCTAATGTTATAGTATACCACAGTGGGGAATTAGAAAATACGGGGTGGGGGAGTTATTAGAGGGAGGAGATTCATGAACATAAGCAGGCTTCACCTGTAAGACAGAGCGAGCAGGCCTTGAACGTAAGCACTAAACTCAAAGAAAACACGGTTGCTAATCATCCAGTATGACAGCCTATGTACTATGAGAGTTAATCCCAGCTGAACATCATCACCCTCATCAATCCTGGAGCCCTCTTTAATGCTCACATTGCGCTATCCAGAAGTCCAGGTAAGTTAACTTGTTTGTAGTATGCCATGAACCGAAAACCTTGACCTGGACCCTCATCCTACGCCTTGACCCTAAAACCAGAGTAGCCCAGTGGTCGCAGTAGGCGGCCAAGCCAGTAGGGTCAAAAGTGGCTGGAACTCTGTCAATGCCTAGGTAGACTGCACGTGTGAGAAAGGCATGGTCTTCAATCTGTGCTTGCAAATTTTGGGCAAGACTAGGCAAAGAGGTTGTTGCTGCACAGCGTCTAGGAGGTTGTTGCTGTACAGCGGCTAGGGTTGCAACAGGGGACCGTCGAATCCACATCAGCATTTCTACATCGGTCCTGCTACCAAGCCGGCTCGGGGTGAATACAAATCGCAGTGCTCTCTTCAGCTACCAGCCTGCGGTTCCATTCACATAGTTTTGGGTTGCATGCATGGCTGTGTTTTCCTTGGCAGCTTGTGCAGTTGTATGCAACAACTTGGTGACAAGCACAGACCAACTCGACAAATCGCACAACATGACAAGCAATCCTGATGTGAAGATGAATACTGTTGAGGAAGCTTCTTGCTGAACTAGGTTAGCACAATTAGGAAACCTTGTTTTCAATATTCTTTTGTTATGGTTACTAGTTCTTTAACAGCAACGCCTCAACCACATGAACCACAGCGGGCACGTCCGTTGAAGATTCCATGCTCAACCCCTTAACTGCCAAGCTACCAGGTAACACCCAGTGGGCAGAACTCTGATCCGAGCTTTCAACAAAGCGCAGCATGGTGCCGCAGTCTGGGTCACTCATGCCCTTCCTTACGACAGGCAGGCGGAGACTAAGCTTTTGCAGCCTTCAAGCAGCACAATGTACAACACAGAATTTTGGACCACAAATCCCGCAAACGAGCGGTTCTTTGCGAAACCTGGGAGGTCTTCACGGCCAGCGTCCTCACTTCAAAGATCTAAGTACGGGGTCTCCTCGGCGCATCACTAGTAACGTGATTAAGGGTGCATAGTCGGGGTCTCGTTTTGCCGGATTAGCCACTATTTTCTTAACGAAAACGAGAGACATGTCCTGCTCAACTATTGCGATGACGAGCTGCTCGCCTTTGTAGTACGCGAAAACCTCCAGAATTCGGACGCCAGGATATTCCTGATGAGCCAGAAGCAAAAAAAAGAAAAGCCGGAAAGACAAGGAGTCTTTGGTGCTTCTGCTTGGATCACATCAGGGTTCCACACGAACCCAACCGCAGCTTGAGAAGGAATAGTCAATCAAATGCGAGGAAGTCTCAACCATTAACCCCATAGAATCCCTCACAAAATCCCACCTAATGTCTTCGTAGTCCCCATTTCGTAGTTTCCCAGGATAAGGGGACCCTCTTGTAGACCCCACATCCTCATTATATTGTACCCCTAATTTTGGGAAACTCGCATTGATATCCTTGGAGCCAAGCCCGTCGAGAGCACTTTACGATACTTACTCCCCGTGAAGGTGTTTTTGGGCTCTTATCATCCCAAAATGGGCTAGAGTCTTAACTTGTAGCATCCCCCTATAACCCCTATAACACTCCGCTATATACTAAACCCAAGTCCATCGTTCAACTACCTTGGCTAAAACGAGCCTTCGGAACCCTCCCGGGGTTTCAAGTTTGCACAACTAGCGAACTACACCAGGGTCCCCATAGTGGCAGCTTTACAGGTCTCCACTCGTAGCGAAGTGTCCTTGGGCATTCCCTCAGGGAGGAGTTTCGGATGCTTCTCCGCATACTTGGACACAATGCCATCAAGCTGACCTGGCTTCACCTGGGCTAGGGTTTTGGGATGTCTGTCTCAACCTGAGCACAGATTCTTTCATTTTCGAAGCAACCCAAAACTGGCGCGGCTTTCTTGCGGCAATGCCTGACGTGGTTTCAGAATGAGGCCCTTTCATGCAACCCTTATTGTGGGAAACTCTGGGAAGGATTCAGAACTACTTCCTTCTGACACCACCTCAGCATGAGCATGGGGAGGCTGCTTCAAGTCAGCATCCCCAATCCCTGTTTCCAGCATCCCCAATCCAGAAGCTTGATTCTGAATCCCCAGGCCCCCAACCTCAAAACCTAAACTGCTCACATCCTCTTGGATCTGGGCTTCCACCCAAACTGCTCAACTTAACCGCAACCTAAGTCCCCCAACCAACACGCCTGAACTACCCATGTCCTATCTCCGTTAACCCCAACCCCTAACTCCTCAATCCTTTATCCTCCCCGAATTCTCCAAGGCCCGCACCTGGAAGCCGAGAACAGCCACGCCCTGCCTCCCAGCCTGATGCTGGGAGAATCGCTCCAAGTGACCTTCAAGGCTTGGAATTTGGGCTTCAGGACTTCAGGCTTGAGGTTTAGGGCTTCGGGAGGCTTACTCAGGGCTTGACACAGATAGCATAGCAAGGTTCGAATCCGAGTCAGGAAGTGCTAGGAGCAGGACTTCAACATCCATCACCACTTACCACACCCACAGGAAGGAGGGAGGCCTGCTACAAATGGACATGGTGCCAGCCCATGGCCTCCAAGCTCCAGCTTTAGCAGACTTCTGCCAGCGTTAGGCAGTGTAAGGTGTTTCTGAATGATTTAGCTATACTGCTCTTGTAGTTGGTATGTGATGTACATTCAGAGCCTACAAGCTCCTGACTACGGGTTTAACAAAGGGCTGTGCAGGGTTGTAGGTAGATGCTGCAGGGCTTCATAAGGTCATCCTTGGCATTGCATGCTCAAGAACAGCATAGTTTCACTTACTGGTGGGCTTCCGTCTTCCAGGAAAACTGTGCTCTGCATAGCTGGTTTAAGTTGAGGGGACTATACACCCCCTCGCGAAGGAAATCCTTGCGTGCTTGTTGCGTTTTAAAATCGTCCACAAGAAGAAACACATAGTAATGGGAATAGTAATGATCATAGTAGTAAAAAACGAAGGGGAATTATAAAAATTGTCACAACTTCTTCCCAAGTGGGCCCAGGGACCGGCGTCCAAGTGGTCCAAAGTCTCCTCTGGGCAGTTTTAGGGTTTACGAAGTTTAGGGTTGAAGGAAACCCTTTCTTCGGTCGCATCAGCCATCCAGGGCCATTTTGAACGTCCATGACTACGATGGTGGTGGCCAGGTCTACTCACCTCCCAGAGAAACGACTAGGAATCCGGGCATTTAACCTGCCCCCCTTGCATGGGCCTAGAAGACCTCCCCAGGTGCCGCAGGCCAGTTGGGGGGCCTCTACACCCCTCGTGCGAGTTCTGCTGAAAGTAGGCAGCCGAGAAATGACCGGCTCACCTGGGCCCCCCCCACTTGGCCATTATTATTTGTTGGCTATTCTGTGGATTGGAACCCCCAAAGATTCGGACCAAACTTCTTTTCATATCAGAACTCCAGGGTTACCTTGTAAAAACACAGGACTCATGTCCACCCGTTTACATCCCCACAATGCTGCGCAACAAGCCTGCTTACATCTTGCACAAAGCACCATGGGTCAACATTGGGTCCTTAAGCGTTTTAAAGAAATCCAGTGACTCCACAGGATGAAGCTAAGTTCTTGAACGCCTCCTGAACTCCATTCCTTGAAGCCTTGAGCCCTAAACATAAATCCAGCTTCATTGTACTTACTGTCTTACAGAAAATACCATGGAGCTGAGCCGTAATATAAAGATCCATTTCTCGATTCCCTTATTACTATTATTGTCATTACTAGTATTACTATTATTACTATTATTGTTATTACTATTATTACTACTATTACTATTATTACTATTAGTACTATTATTACTATTATTATGCTTTAGGAGCAGAGTCTCCTTCTCCGACTTCTGCCTCTTTGCTGCAGGATGGCCATCCGCTGAAGCGAAGTCGGACATGCTCTTGTCCTGGCATCTGCGCTGCTAGCATATAATAGTAATAATAATAATAGTAATAATACAGAAAGTAACACATATGAACAGTAATAATAATAGTAATAATAGTAATACAAATGATAGTAATAATAGTAATAATGATAAGAATAATAGATGAGTGCCGTTGGAAAACGTAAGGTCTCATCTTGGGAATCCCCCATATGTCGGGCTCTACCTCTGGGCAGTTTATGCTGGGGACGCTTTAGGATGCCCTCCAGTCACGGACAAATGGTGCATGAATCAGGAATCAGTGGTGACCCTATTATTCACTGTTTGATTGTTTGAAAATTTAAAACAATCAGGAATCAGCGGTGGCCCTAGTATTCGCTGTTTGATTGTTTCTAATTTAAAACAATCAGGAATCAGCGGTGGCCTTATTATTCACTGTTTTCGTCGCGAAGTCTTTGTGGATGGTTGAGACCCGTCATGGTAAGGAATGGGTATACTACAACGGAAGTTGGGGTCTCAGTAGCCACAAGTAGGGTTGCAGATATTCATGCTGCAAACTTATAGGGCACATACCAACTACCTGACGCGTAGACTTCCAAGTCTGGATAATATGCTTTCAGAACCCAAACGGTAGTTGTTAGGCTACACAAGAGGCGGTTACCCAAAAATGTGCCGAGTCTCCCTGTATGAAATAAAATTTGTGGTCACGTTACAAATTGTTCAAATTGAAGCATCGCATATCTGGCAAGTGTGTTGCTATCCTTGTGAGCTGTGATGACAAACTTCACACCCTCGTCGTCGCTGCTGGTGACTGCCATTGTGCCTGCTTCTCTCTTCTGCAATCTCAAGCAAACTGTATGAGTTTTCGCGATTTGCTCAACTTAGCTATGTCCTTGATTCACTAGCAGCACAGAATGAGCAAAATGCCCTTATTTTGGTGAATACTGCAAACATCTGCTCAAAGGTCGTCTGGGCACGGGTGTCTGCGGTCTGGCCGTAGCCAGTAACACGCCAGCCGAGTCCCACCAGCATCTGCTCCACCACGTCTTGCTTGTGGCCTGTCCACCTCAACTTTCTGGTGGAAGAAAGTAGGCGATGAATTTTCAGATGGAAGTCTGGAAATTCTTAGGAAGGCGTACTCTTGCTGCTTATGCAAATAGGCGGACCACAGGGTAGAGGTGTGCAAAAAAGTAGACTCAATTTCAATCAGTGGTCTCCATGCAAATTCACGGGCTGATGCAGACCAGACAACGGCTAATGTCTTCCCGAATTATGGATCTTGATTGCTCATGGATGCAAACCTGATGATCCCATCAGTGTAGTTTACACTCCCGCTCAAAAGAAGCCAAGTTGCTTGGCGGGATCTCGCTCCCCCGTAACCTGTCAACTAATCAAGTACTAGCAGCTACCGATTCTTCTGCAATGGGACCTTTTAGGTGAGGGCTGCTTAGCAAAAAGGCGAAAGCCGAGTCGGAGAGCTAGCAAGACATAGGGAAACTGGTCTCCATACATTAATGACATGATGACACGATGGCAGTGAACTAGGCCCAGCAATCCTAAGCTTGAAGGCCTACTGGGAGAGCGACGGAAGCCTTGCAAAACAACCCCCAAAATCCTTTGACTTTTGAAGTCTCCAGGACACTCGAAGTAAGCTGAGAATTGCTTTGTGGTGGTTTTGCGAAGCGAGGCTATACTCTCCCAATAGAGCACTGCGCCCCAAAACGAGGATACAATCTTACTCTGTCTTACTCTACGTTGGGGACTGTAGTGTACCCATTGAGAACACGACTCCTCTGATAGTCTTCCTACACAAGGGGGGACCCCAATATAGAGCCCAACAGAATACCTTATCGTTGTTGTAGGGCCCCTGAAGAGGTGCCCCCAGTTTGGGAAGCCCCCATGTGTCGCCAGGGCACAGGGTTGCCATGGCCGGAGGCTAGTTTTTGCCAGGCTTCCCGGCCCACAGCTACATCCTGCGGCGGCTTCTTCGCGAATTCGTTGAGCTTATCCTCCAGCTTCTTGTACCTTGCACTGGGGAAACTGCTGCTGAAGCATTGCACACACAAACGCCGAAAAGGGAAAACACCGTGTCGAACGAAATCTGAGAAATATCTGGGGTGCTCAGCCAGCTCCTTCAGCGCGTCACAGTAGATGTGAACCTGAGTTTGTCTGGGCATGAAGAATCCGCATCCTCAAGCAGCGGAAAGATACGACTGCCGGCCCAGACACGTGGGAAAAGCTGACAGACCTCGGCTGTAGCGTAGTGCGGTGTTACCTAGCATCTTTCCGTTGATTTCAAGTACTGACCCTAGCTTCCATTTTTCCATGATAGCCGCTACAAATAGGTTATCTTTTATCATGCTACCGCCCCAGCTTCAGAGTGCTTCCAAGAGACGACATGGCCGCAACGGAGCACCGACTGTGCGGCCGAGCGAGGAATCGAAACGGCTGCTGCCGTACACCCAGAAACCTTTCTTCAAAGAATTAGGGTCTGGGGATTGGGGTTCTGAGTTCTGCCAAATTTCAAGGCTTCCCAAGCGGCCTTTCATGTTGGTGTCAGGGTACAATCTAAAGGGGTCCGAGATTGTGCACCTGCCCCGATGCTCATTTTTCAATTGCTCTTCAAAGCGGTGCCAAGCAGTGTTGATTTCCTTTATGCATGCTTCGGCAAGCTTGGGAATACAGTGCTTGAAGCTCAAGCGTCACAAAAGCTTTTCTGACAGATCAGCATGTTACATACGGTCAATCTTGTAATAGCTTGCAATCACACTGATGCTGCTAATCTATGCTGACACCAGGGGCGTTCGTTCAGCAGTGTGGAGCAGGAAAATCGATACCAATGCCGCGGGTAACAAGCCTGAGCAGGTTTGAACCCTTTGGCTTCTGATTCCAACCCCTCAAAAAATCGTGCTCAATGCGGCGATGTCCTGAAGGAGGGGCTCTGCATGGACACTCCGAACCACTGCTGAGCTGGAATTGAGGAGGATGGGGAAGGGACACTCCGAGTATGGGCAATAGGTTGCAGTACTTCCTGAAGTTTAAAACAACACGAAAGGAACTGCACCACAAGACTTGCATGAATGAATGTCACATTTCTTAATAGCAATCCCCGCATTTCAGCCCTGGATTATTGCATGCGTGGCCCCTCCGAAGAACCCCTTACTTTACCCCAAACAAAGGCAGTCTGACAAGCAGCGGCTTCCCCCCATGTCGGGAGGCCCCAAAATGGCTGCGAAACCCAAACGGCGCCGGCGGGCATGCTTCAAATATTTTTTGCGGAGAGTGGGGAGGGGGCCAAAATTGGCCCTTTGGGTTTGGGAGGTTCTTGTATATTGCAGTGAGGATCCATGGCATTGTTGGCAAATCACAACATAGTTGGGGAGTTTAGAGCTTCGGGCGTGGGGAGTCTAGAGTTGGGTTCAGGCTGACATGATTGGGGGAAAGGAAGCAGGTCAGGTTTGATCATGCTTGAGCTACGTAAATCCAGTCCTTGACTCGCTCATGTTTCGGCGGCAGGTCAGAGATCTTCTACCGTCCAAGTTTAGACCTGAAAGCCTGAAACCACCGTCGTGACCGAGCTCAAAGACCACAAGCCTCAACATGCGCCTACCCGCTTACAGAATCGAAATGCAAGTTTAAGGTATCAGCCTCAAGAACTGATGATGAACTGGCTTTGGTGACATCCACTCCCGAAATTGGGAGCTATTGAAGTGACGTCATATTTAGCGGCTAACTTTGCGGTTGGGTTGCCAAAGCCTCCTATAACAGAAGAGACATCGATGCATCCTTTGCTCACTGAATCTCCAAAACTAGCTGCGCAACAGGCCCTATGCGATCGATCTTTTTCCTTGAATAATGAACCCCCGTAAAAATGCACATCTTAGTATTACATCATAATTGACAAGAGAGGAATATGTATTGCTAGGGGATGGGGTTTCAGTGTTGGGGGGCTAGGATTGTGCATGCTTGCAGCACGGCTATGGCCCAAGCAGTTGCCTGCACACTCTCTGTATGAATGCAGAGAATTATGGAAAAGCTTCGGCAATTCAAACTCCAGCGATGAATGTGCGCATGTGACCTAAACAGTAACCAGGTGCAAGTACCCGGCACGGCAAAATGAGCCTCTAAGCAAGGTACGGTCAGATACGTAAGGTCTCAGCATGTAGACTTACCCCAAGGTTGGGGTGCCCCTAGCTGCTTGCCTGCCTAAGCTGGAAAAACAAGCCTGCTGCTGGTGCAGAGGTGTCAGGGCCCCCTCCAGGCTACCCAGGACCTCCAGCAGACTGTTGGTTTAAGGCTTCGAGGTGGCATTTCAATCTGCCAAAACCATGGGTGGCGTTTTAATGTGATGCTGGCCCTAAGAATTGCGCGATTCGGCATCCTGTATCGAGACAATCGGAGGCTGAAACGTTTCTCAATGTCCGTCTATGAACCCCACTTCCAGAATTATGGGAATCCCATAAAGAATCCATAGCAACAGGAAACCACGAACATCTTATGCAGGTTTTCCAAGATTATGAATGAATCCTTTCGTCGGGGCCTGCTTTATACAAATCTCGAACCCCAATACACAAACATGTTCTGGGGTGTATAAGGAACTTGCTGTGCCCAAGGTTGATGCCAGATGTCCAGGTCAAGCACAAAATTTTCCAAGTGTGTCAAGATCAAGAAGCAATCCAATGGGCAGCCAAGGTGGTGCAACATTGAAATATGCAATGCCTAAAATTTGCCTAAAAGATCCGAATCTTGAGGCAGCACCGCATCTAGCGTACCCTGCTCTGAGTCCCACCTTAACTGCCAGCACTGGGTGATGCTTGGCCCCATGCCAGCAGGGGATAGCCCACAGCATGCAAATAGGTGTTTAGCTCAGCGCAGTTCAGGAGAGCCTGGGCAGCAGTTCCACAGACAGATAGCCGCACACAAAAAATCACCTATGTTGAGGCATGTGGGCAGGGTCCGTCGTCAGAAGCTCCATGTTTTGGGAACCTCAAGAAGTTGGATCTAAGATGATTCGACAGGTTTCCCACGCGAACTAATCCCTACAATGGCTGTAACGGGATAATCTATGGTCCCTGTGTCGGAGGGCAGGTGCCTCGTGGGTTCTCATGAGTTAACAACTGCGCGAGGCAAGTTAAGCTTAGTCCTAGAACCCTGTCAAGAATGTCCTCCTGGGATTCCATGGAGGACTTGCCACACACTTGGGGTCCCACAGCCTGAGCCTCAAGTCTACATGCCACCTTCCTTGCAAATGCATTTTTTGCCTTCCCACGTCCATCACGGGCTCGAGCTCAAGTTCGTAGGAATGGCGCAGCTCCGATATGCGTCTTGCTTGGTAATCAAAAAGGGTCTCGAAGATCTGCCAGTAGCATGCAGCATAGCAACATTCTACAAAGAGCCCTAAAATCACGCATCATGCAGTGCTCCTTACAGAATCACGTGACCTCAACCCTCCAAAACGCCGTGTTTTGTCTTGATCGGAGCTGGTGCAGCGATCAAAAAGAAACATCCTTCACGTAGGGGTCTGAATACTTTGCCGGATGCCCACCAAATAATTGCCATGTTGGTTGCCAAGCGCACAAGAAAACTTATCCGATTGCAGTTTTCCTATTTCCTCGTTCTGTCGCCTGCGATCTCCTTGATCATGGCTCTAAACCCTAGGCGTATGGCACTCAGATCCCGATGGAAAATGTTTTGGAAGTTCAGGTGCTCCTTTCAGCGATGTTGCACTTGCCTGCACCCGCGGGTATAGTAAATTCTTGGCAACCCCAGAAGGGTACCTCAAATCATCAGTGTGTAGGGCTTGGGCATTCAGACCCCGACAGAAGTCGCAGGCCCCTAGGCCTCAAGGCCTTCTCCAGGGCTGCTTCACTTGGTGGCGGCTTCAAACTTGGTCCTCACCCAAGGATCTGGAAGGTTGAGGGGTTAGGTTAGGGGTGGAAGGTTGTCTTGGGTTTGGGGGTTTTGGTGGTAACCTTTGCAGAATTGGACTTCAGAACTGCAAGCCCCTGCAAGGTTTGGCTTGGGATTTCTTTGGCTGTGGGGATGCATGCGCTATTCAGGCTTAGCACTTCTGGGGGCTTAGCACTTCAGAGTTTAGTTTAAGACTTGTGTCTGAAAGGGACATATTCAGGAGGCGAGTATGCATCATAGGGAGTAGAAGAGGTAGAGCGTGCTTTCTACAAACATGGATGATTCCTTACGCATACTGGTTCTCAGTAAGGAATAAGGGAATATATATCTCTATATATTACATGGGAACACTACAATATATACAAAAAATATGGGATTATGTTGAATTGGTATTCCCTTATTCCCTACTGAGAAGCAGTAAGTACGTATGGCGCTTGGATGACTCCCGCTGTGATGCCTCTCCGACTGCAGGTAGATGATGATGAAAATGGCGCAGGGGATCACCTGATGGTTTACTCGTGGCTAGTAGGGAATAAGGGACTAATATCTCTTTCGAATCCCTATAGACTATATTCCTTATTCCCTACTAACCCCCAGTAAGATGGTTTTGGCTTGCGATTTTGCAGCCTATGGCGGACCTTCTTTGAGCTGCATATGTGAACTGTTGTTCGCCGTGCTTTTGGGCGGAAGCGGGCTGGTCTGCAACAAAGCCATTAATGGAAGTTTTTGGGCTACATTAGATTCCAGGAAGTACAATATGCTTTTTCCGCAGTTCGATGTTAGCGTCACAACACATGCACCGCATGGTATGCTCGAGACTAGCTCTCCTCCTACTGCTCATCCATGGGAAGCTGCGGCAAAACCTGTAGGAGGCTTAGAATAAAGCACGCTGAGATGATTGCCCAGAAACAAACCAAAACCTCCTCCATAAACCCTGATTCCAGCAAGAAAATCCCATCCCTGTCACGACTTTTGACCTGAAAGCAAGAACTCCAGGATTGACAAAATCCGCAGTGCAACCATTAACCCTGCGTCAAGGGCGGAAGCTTCATAACCAGAACCCTGACCCTGAACCCCCAGCCCCTCCCCACCAGCAGCACGATGTTGGCCCACCATCCTGGTGTTGACACCTCGAGCGCGGTGGACACAGAGGACCTCGGCTACCAAGGTCGGGCTTCCACAAGGGGTTTCCCAAACTTAGGGCCGGCTTATAGAGTTATATGATATGGGGTCATATGCGTAACTATATATGTAACTATTTGTTTTGTTTTTCTTAATGTTTCCTATTCCTATGAGAGTTCCCGAAATTAGCACGGCAATTCGTTGAGTTTGCGAAGGCTACGCCGCTATGTGGGGGAAGCGGAAGCCTAGCTGGTCATATAACGAAACACTAGTTTTATCTACAATAGTAGTTGCAAAAGACCATAAGATACATGACCTGGTTAACTTGGGTTCTTCCCCACCTAGCTCAAAACCCGATAACCCAAGATATATGTATTGCCCAGTCTCCATTCTGTCTCCCAACTTCTTTTCCAATTGGTCCTCCAGTATTCTGATTATCTAGGCCCGTAAGGCCTAAGAATGAGCTTACCACATACCCTAGACCTTAAATCCCAAATAAGCCATGTTGTGGCAACCTAATTCAAGTGGTAGGCGCCACAAAAAGCAAAGCCCCATGTAGACCCAAACCTACTATCATCCTTACAATGGAGGCACTCAAAATGGTAGCCCTTATTTTTGTAACCCATATTTTCCGTGAAGCCACTGCGTAACCCCAGTTTTCATTTCGTTGTTTCTTTTCCATTTGATTCTTCAATAACTTTTGGGGTAATACCCTAGTTCCTCTATGTATATGTCTATATTATACTATATTAGTATAATATATTATATTTTATTTTATTATACTACACCCCCCTAATTCTTTTTTAGTTTTTGGCAGCCCAGGAACTGCAGATCCACAGAGTCCATTGCCTCAGGCACAGCCGCCTGCCTCGTGCGGGGCGCCGCGGTGGGGCTTCCCGAGAGTCCGGAGACGAAGGCTGGGGCCTGGGCGCTGGATGGGAGAGTGTAATGTGTTTTTTTAAAACAACCCTGTCGACTCTTTCGTGTCTAGCAGTTTGCTCAGGGGGTCCATTCGCCCAGTCGGCTTAACAGTGTTTAGGGCTTAGGGTTTAGGATTTAGGGGAGAGTAAACGTCGTAGAAAAAAGCACAGCAATGATGACAACTGTAAGAAGAAGAGGAATTAACAACAACAATGATGAAATGGTACAGTGATGATATGTTTCCAGGGTAACCATAGTAACAATCGCAACATAGCAGGAATCATACTAAGAATAGAAGTAATGGCAGCAGCAGTAGTTCTAGTGGTAGTACTACTACTAGCACTAATAGTAGTACTACTAGGTATTGGAGAAGGGTCAGGGCTAAGGGATTAGGCTAGCGCTGGAACTCTTTTCAAACTGCGGTGATCGGGACGATTTGGCTCCTTCATTTCAGGCTCTCCGGTTGCTTTAGCAGAAGTAAGGGCTTGAATCCTCAGGCAGACTGCTATGCTTCCCTGCTTTCAAAAAGCAATAGTTGCACAGATTCCAACCATGAAGCGCCGCCCGAAATTGGAATCCTTTTGGAGGCACTGTAAAGCTCCCTGGCACTGCAACTCTCCACGAAATCATCTGCAATCACTAGGTCACCTGATAGCCCCAAAAAAAGCTTCATGCTGTATATCACCTGTCAGGACATCGCAGCCACTCTGTCTGACATGGTATTCTAGCCCTAAAATGCTGACTGCAAGGACACCCGAAAAAGAGGCCGCCACTTTGGGAAACCTGTTTTTTGTATCCCGCCCTTCTGGAGTAATCAAGTCCACTTAACCCGGAACCCTAGTCCCTGAACCCAAGCCCTCAGTAGATCTTATGACATGATAGTCATTAAGCACACGCTTAATAAGGACGAAGGGTTCAAACAATATCTGGTGACTGCGCCTACACTGAAAAAACATCTTTGCAGGACGTGTCAAGTCTTCGGGATGCGCAGGCACTGCAGCTGTACAAAACAAAACGAGCCTTGAACCTTCTAAAGCCTTCATCTCCAAACCCAAACCTTAGACTCCAATCCCAGAAGAAAGCTTACATACCTTGTGAAGACAGAACAACTAAAGAAAACCTTATCAAGACCTTTTTTCAGGAACCTGGATATGAAAACCTCAGACGCCCGTTTTGCAGACCAACACACACTTTTTTTCCAGAGAGCCGAACGTGTGAAAGGCCCCAAAATCTCATCTCAGCCCCAGGGGCAAGGAGGGAAAAGCCAGCCGCGATGATCAGGACGGAAAGGAGCTTGGAGGCCATTTTCCTTAGGGATATTCAAGACTTGTATGAAAATCATGGGCGTCCCGTTTGGGATTCTGTTGAGGTTCTGGGGTTGTGGGAGGCATGGGATTTCTCGAGTTCGGGGCTTGGGCGGTTTTGGGGTTAGCCACGGATCCGAGCCAGTCCACTCAGTTTTGTTAGGCTGCCAGAAGACTGGTGCCCTCCAGTCAGGCAAAACTAACAGCATTCTACAAATGATCATAACAATAATCATAGCAATATTAATGGCATCGGCCAACCATCGTTGTCGCCGCAAGATGCGACACAAAGCGTCAGTTGGCTGCCCTGCCTCATCCCATCAATGTAATTGGTGGAAATACTCGCTTTCATCTCGCTGACAATGTTTTTTTTGCTCGTGCGAAGTGACTACCTAGATGCTTACCCTCCTTGCCATGATTTCGGGTCGGGGTAGGGGGGGCTTTGAGCCTTACTGAGCCAGCCCCTGCAGGACCTTTGACTGAATTCAAGTTCCTTTACAGAAGCCCAGATTTCGGTGCCATCTTAGGGTGGGGAAACTGGTGCTCAGGGTGTCCCAAACGGACTCTTTACAATCCCTGCCCATGTGTTGAAGACAGCACGCGGGCCCTCAACAATTCAACATATATATAATATAATATCACAATATATAATAAAATAATAGAAATACTAATAATAATGATAATAATAACAATAACAATAATAATAATAATACTAATAATATATATATATATATATGTACAAATAAGGCCTGATAGGGATAATGCAAGGTTCTACGGCTCGGCATTTCCACGCGCACTCCTCCCAGCTAACAGCTAACATGGAAACCCATATAGGCCCTATATATACTATAACATTATAATCCCCCCAAATAATATAGTGTGTATATATAAGATTATTACCCCCCCTTCAGAAGTGCAGCAGTCTTTATAGGGGTCCTTTGGGGATTCCTTGTTGGGTTGCGCGGTCAACTTCGCTATAGGGGCTCTTCACAGAAAAAAGCTCCCAAGCCTTTTTGCAACAGGCTTGCACGTTCGCGCCTGGGTTGACGTCCTGCAAAAGCTCCCAAGCCTAAACCCTCAACCCTCAACCCCTACACCATAGCCCCTAAACTCCTACACCCTATAAAACCCACTCTAATAGCTCCATTTTCCATTTTCCCTATATAACCCTATTTACAATCCTGTAGGCCAGGTTCTCGAAGTCTCTGGGAGCTTTGCTTGTTTCGCTGCAGTCGGGCCGAGCTGGCTTGGACCAGAAGCTGCGACGTCAAGCTGCTAACAAAAACATAGCTGCAGGCTACCGCACCGACAATATAGAGGGAATATTGGGGTAATGGAAAAGAAAATGGAAACCACTGTCATGGGGGTTATTAAACATTATAATGGTGATGACAACGAAGCTGTTCGATATGTGTTCGAAGGGGGTTGTTTGACCATGTACCATGGTATCTGAGACGACTTGAAGAATCGACTCTTTGCCAGCCCTGTCTGCATGCTATCTTCGGTCCTACCATAATAAGCAATAAACAATCACCCTGGCACTAGACAAAGCGAAGCCCTGCTTTGAAACTCTGTAACGCTCACGCCCTCGTTACAGACGCTAACATACCTGCAGAATCCTCTTTCGAGGCAGGTGCTTGAAGTGGCTGGACGCGCCATGTGGTTTTCCCAGGCCGCGTCCTCAGTGCGAAAGCTCGGTTCACGGCTTGAGGCTTCTTGCATGTCTCAGGCCCCGATGCCATCCACAAAGAACTGGGGACAGTCTTGGTATGCAGGGTTTCAGAGGCCTACTATGGGTTCTCAATAGGTCAAGGATTTGGAGCTTGGTGCCGTTCCTATGCCACATCCGCTTCCAGCAGTCCACAGAGCTAAGAAGCTGTCTTCAAAACAATATATCTTACCAAAATACTTGGTCCATGCAAACACCGCTGCAAAAGCTGCACCTCATTCTTTGTCTCCGCTGGACTCATGTCTAACTAGTCTCTACTTTCCCGCGCCGCAGTCCCCAGTTCAGCTCAGAAACAGGGAGAGCACAAGATGCAACTCTGCCCGCGGGCTTCATAGGGTTGAACAGGGGAACCCCTAAAAAAACAAAAAGCCTGGTGGGGAAAAAGTATGGTTAATGACCAGCATATATCTAGTGGCTTTAAGCCTATTGCCCCTGTAGAACCCTATGAAAGTGATCAAAATCTAGAAGTTTGCCACTGCAAGCATCATGAAGTGGAGGAAGGGAGCCAACATGAGATGGAAGAGTCCGTGGCTCCATCCTCCTCCCAAACTTACGCGGCTGCCCATCAGAAACAAAAAGCCTTAGGCGAACTGTGCAAGTGAACATCATAGGCCGTTTATTGGTTGAAAGTGTTTGGGATGTCTCAACTCAATACAGCCATGTTTCAAACTAAAGCTTCGGTATATCAAGCACCCCGGGAAATCCATCCGCACGAACATTGTCTGAAAATCACAGTGGCCCGTCCGATTTTGGGGAGGAGCTGTAAAACTTCCTGGAAGGTAAAAGCTGCTCAAGGCACAGACGAGGAGCAGGCACCGACCCAACATGACATGACAGCCGCATAGTAGAAATAGTCGCCGCGAATCAGGAGGGGCAGGGTATATAGAAACCTAGCTAGTGATCTGGCTAATGCCTGACGTTTGATTTGTTTGGGTCATTGGGGTCTAGTTGTCTAGGCAGTCTTCGGTCTAGGCTTTGGGCTTGAGTTTTTGAGATGCACCTACTCTGGGAATAACTGGTAGCTGATGAGGCAAGAACCTTTCTACTTCCCCAATGCGCTTCTTCTTGAGGTTAGCAGACCAATCCCAAAGACCTCCGGCCACCATCAAACAAAAGCAGGCTCTGCATCAATGACAATCATCAGAATGATGACGTCAATCATGCCGGCAGAGTGGGTGTTAGGACCGTTAGGATTGTCCTAATTGCGCAATACTCAGCTGACCCAAGTCACCTAAAGTACATCTGCCTGAACTCAGGATGAAACTATAGACAACATAGTCCAATTCGGGATGGCTTAGTTACTGTAAGTTACTTGAGTTTTGACCTCTTCAAGGCCCTGAAACTCCTAAATCAAAAGCACGAGTATCAAGCACCCTCAGGCTTCTTCCTCCTACCTTGACAAAGCTTCCTTGAGCTTAAGAAAAGAAACACGCAGCCGCTGATTCGGATGTTCTCGTCCAATCCTCCAGGCCTTCCCCGGATGAGGCGGCTGAAAAGCACAACGATGCAGGAGAAGTTCACCTTGTGAGGGGCTCCGCTATCTAGGGCCGCGCTGAGTCGGATTTCTTACAAAAAGGTGGTCCTCTATCTGCGGGGTAGAAATGCCTTTGTTCTGGTGGGCGTGGCATCTGTTGGAATTTATGTAGGCAACGCTGGCCTTTATTCAGATTCTACATTCTGCTAGATGCTCTCCATCTGCAATGCCCTCCCCCAATAATGCGGCTTATTATTGCCGAGGTGGGGAGTTTCATTTCGAAACGGAATTGATGCACATCCGTGCTTCTGTCAATTGCAGCCCAGAATCGACGAACATGAGAAAAGTGTACAGCCAATCGCCCTGGCTCAGCGCCCAAGCAAATATGATGGCTGAACAGTGGATCGCAGTGAGATCCATGGTGCGGAAGGGCGTAGAATAGGAATCAAAACCGTCGCGCTGGTCCAGCACTGCACATGCCAGGTGATAGGCCACACTGAAGGGGCAATGCAGAAAAGTGCCTACCGCCAGCGCCCAGAGGCCTTCCGGGAAAACTGACTTGGAGGCGAGCTCTGGCGCGGTGTGGTAAGCAAGCACAGAGGGAACTATCATGGACAAAGCGCTGAAAACTTCCGGCCAAAATGCAGATCCGATTTCGAACTCGAGCTCCAAAAACCTTAGGAACAATCCGACTCTTCGAACAACCTCAAGATTGCATGGAAACCTTCAAATGCATGCCTAAGGTATATAAAGACTACCAACAGGAAACCCTGCCATCCCCTCATACTGCCACCCATGCACCTTGATCACTTGAGATACAACGCGACACAGCTCACAAAGGGAGATTTTCAGATCAAAATTCAAGACATCTTTAATAGCTTACAAGCGAAGACCTTGCTATCATCTCAGACACTGCAGGAAAGATCCAGTGATCGTCGGCCGCGGTGCTTTCCTAGGCCAGTCGTCTTTCTAGAATGAGAACAGATGGGGTTCTTGTGCTTGGACAGACAAGGTGCGCAGGACCTGGGGTATTTGGGGAAAAGACTAGCATCAGCTGACCTGTTGTCAGATATTTCCCTTGTTTATGGTACGTTTCCATTTCCATGAACCCCGCCATGAACATGAGCGTCCAACCAACATACCCGCAAAAACCAGTGCTGAGCCCATATCACTCCGAAAACCTAGAAGTTCCCTATGAAATAACCGCTATACCGCTATAAGCTACGAATCTCCGCAGATTTAATGGAATTACAAGCTTTAAAAACAGCCTATGCAAACTCACTTCCAGACCGGACCCTGCGACAAGGATGGCGACGAGGCATCCCGGGCCGGACTTCTCGGGGACAAGTCTGCAGATTTCCTTACCGGGGGTTGGGAGGGAATGAGGGGGGGGTTATATGGGGGTTCTATTCCCGTATTCCCTTCTAAGCAGCAGAAAGCTTCCTGTGGCTGACTTGTTCCTTGCCCTCTGAACTGAGATTAGGATTTCGGATGAATGTCTTAGGACTTTTGATTGGAAGCATTTCCTTGAACCGTTCTCTTCAGGCAGGTGGTCAGGGTCAGTTCAAGAACCTCCTTTTGGCAGACGGTCTTCATCAATCTCAGGCGCTTGGAGTCTAGTGCTGAAGATTGCAACACTCACGTAGCCCAAGCACAAAGAGGTAAGGCGACGTAGCACAGAGAACTTAGGATACAAAGATACAACGCAAACCTTCATCAACAAACAAGTCTGAGTATTCTGTTTCTGACTATGCTGTTGCTTTGGCATGCCTGATTTATGCTGTTTGTTTCTGACCAGGTGGGCTGCCCTTGCCGGGTGGGGATGTCCCTTGACGAGGAGAGAAACACATCGAAAATTTTCCCTTCGCGGGCATCAGGATTGTTTGGGCGATCCATGCTGCAGTCGGTCTACATTGAATATGCAATGCACGTGACATGAGAATATGGTGGCTAGGAAATCTTCCATGCCCTATCCATCCCGGATGGGGTCTGACATGTGCACCTTTATGAAGGAACTCCTTGAAGGGCATCTACCCACCTTTGTGAGAGTAGACTTACAGCAGATTACCCCAAAAATGGTTCAGGCAAAGCCACCTATACCTGGCAGTGCCTGCCATCATGGCACTGAGGGAGCTCATGGCAAAATACAAAGCTGCTTGAGCCTACAAGTTCCGAACATGTCCCCACATGGGCTACATGGTTTCCATAAATGGGACCCCGATACCCATATAGTAAAATCCTCAGCATAAGGACCCCCAAGAAGTACTCCAAATTCTAGGCAGCCCGCAGATAGAGCAGATTGAGTAAGATCGAAGCAAGGCTTCCAAGGCAACATGTCCTCCAAGCATGGGCCCGCAAAGTCCTACACGATTGCAAGTGGAAAGCCTGCAAGCTTTCAAACAAAACAACCTGCCAGAACGTCATGTCTACCCAACAGGAAGGACAACACAAAATAAGACACGTCAGGACGCTCGCCACACATGTGCGCGGCCTCTTTGCAGTTGAGCGGTTGTGCGTGTTGTGGACTCGCTAGATGAACGTCATTCCATGATACATTCGTGCCAGCTTGATGCCTAGTGGCCAAGGAACCCAAGCACCATACGACACCCAAAACATGTACGAAAGCGACCCAGAAATGAACAGAGTCATTGCACACGTGTCAACACATGAGGTTGGCTGCAGGCCTCTAATTGCACAACAATGCAGAGCACAAATCCTGGCACGCCCCATCGTAGCAGAGTACTAATCCTCACCTACTGACCGAAGACAGGTCTGCATTACAATCCTAAAACACCTGCTTCGATGCTGAGTGCTACACCGCCAAAGGGCAAATCGCTGACGTCCTGGTTGGTCCTGGTTAGGCGGAAGCTGATGTGAGCCTCTGATGAATAGCTGATGGACGCTCACCCCTTGTCAACAAGGATCCCAGTACGGATGTTAATCTGATGTTGCCGTGTTGCTACTTTTCTGCCCTCACCTCTTGCTTCTGAATGTAACTACCTCCAAACATTTCGGTTGCCCATAGCGCGTCGCGACGTAGCAGCGATTTCAACATAGCATAGCCCTGGTTGGGTTGAGTTGCATGCGCTGAAAGGAGCATGTCTCTCTACTTGGGACATGTGCAGTTGTCACGCGCAAGATCGCTCTCATAGACCCAACAGAATAGGATCCTTACAACCGGCACCGGCAAAAAGGATTGAAAATTTTGAGAAGTCTCCACAGAAAAACGTCAAAGGCTGAGGCTTGATCTTGAAGAGGGCTTGCAGCTCATAACACCTGCGAGCCCTTTGCATTCCCCACATAGGATCTATATGATTGCTCCCGTGGTTTTGAACATCTCGCTGTCCTTATTCGTAACCTAAGGTCCGCATGGTGGCACGAGGGATCTAGTAGTATATCCTGGTACTGCCCGGAACCCCTAGGCAGCAGGCAAGCAGGCTGTGGAAAAAACACGTCATCCAAATTTTGCGTTATTTCTGAAGATCAAATCTCAAAGTAAACAGTGCAAAACGGATTGAAACTACAAGGACTACAGCACGGGGCTCGTGTTTGCTGGAAACGTGGGCCAGTGGCGCCAGAGATTCCTGGCGGCAGGTCCGATAATCGATGTTTATGGCATTGTGGCTGCAGCAGCTGGCTTTGCCAGGGCGCAGGCCTGCACATTAACCGTTCTACGCATCCTAAGTCTAGGCGATCCTATGCATGCCTTGGGGAAGATTGCCCTGGGCAGAGCACTATGCAGCAATCGTCACAGACTCGCACAGGCTGCAGGTAGCCCAGGATTGACAAAGGCAAGCGCTGCAGGCTGCATGCATTGCAGAGGAGCCGCCCGCAAGCTCGACAGTGATGGCGTCGGCGCACACAGGTGAAGGTGATGGAGCAGGACTGGCAGTACAGGCCGCTGTTGCAGACCTGAGTGATATTGACGCATGAGTCAAAACATCGTGGCAAGACAAACACTGCAAAGTTTTACCTGAGGCTGACCAGGCTCCCAAGTGGGTGCCATCAGGCTCCCGAAAGAGGTGCCAGCACTGGTGAAGGAACTTTGGGTGTCGGCCTTTGAGGATGTCAGGAGAATCTTCACAATTACGGGTACCGTTTTGAGAAGGTCCCTTAAAAAGGGATTATATCAATTTTGAGTCTATATTGGGGTCCCCAGGTCCCCACTCCGATTATTTCAACACAAAGCCCATTGCTACTTTTTCCTATGATTTCTGCTACTGGAGGCCGGCCCTTCGACTACGACGTACTATGTTTCACTTCACCTCTGAATGTTGCCAGCATAAGAGTGCTGAGTGTTACTACTGTTGCGCAAGCCCACCTTCGGCGTTGCATCCATAGAAAGGGTTTCCAGCGCAAGCGGCGGCAACGCCAGTAGCGCATTCATGAAGGCTTTCTGATCCAAATCACAATCCTTCACGATGTCCTGTTGGCATGGCATATGCTCCAATTGAATCATCCTTTTGACTATTGCCACTTTACGAGAACCAGCATTATTACTATTGATACCATGAGCTACCAGAGTTGTGATTCTCCTCGCGCTGGTGATATGTTTCACTATCATTGCTACAACTCTGATTTCGCCACGCCTTACTCTCACGAACGAATCTCCTCCCGCATCCAGCACCTGCTGACAACAAATTTCTCTGACATACCGCCGTCATATATCAGCCCTCATCCTTGTTCTCGAGAATAACTCATTATACACACTAAACCTTACATAGACCCGTAAACCTAAAGCCTAACGTAGATTCAATTTTTTAACATTCCCTCACAACTCGCTACTATGAGATAAAGAGATAACCATTCCTATATAATCCCTGAACATGATGCAGACAACCCATTTCTTGATTCCCAAGATCTGACGACACCCCGACCCCAAATTAAGGACCCTGCGACTATCCCATGACTCGAACTGGATCCTCAGTTTATGGGTTGGGGTTCCCTTAAACCCTACATAATCCCGGCTTGGTCCCCTGTAATCCTCCTTGAGCCCCATAAGGGGTTCTATACAGAAAGCCCTCTCTTTATTCCTGGGCTGCGGTTAGGAAATTTAAATTAAATTACCATAGTGGGTATATATAGGTGTTTCCCCAATATAGTAACTTCAACTAAGTTCCTTAACAACAACCCAGACTCAGGGTCCTCCGAGATGGCTAATGCGCTCTCACTGTTCTCCTCCTGAATCGCATGAACCAAGGCTGCCAACTCCGCTTGGGAGATACTTCCTTCGGAAAGAATAGAAGGCTTACAGCCCAGACCCCCTACAAAGCATCCAAAAAATGGAACCCCCTTGTGTTGGATCCTGCAAGGGGTCTGTGTGTTGGGGTGTGGCTATGGAGGAATACAGGGTCCAGGGGTTTCGGAGTCTGGGAAGTTGAGGTCTAGGGGCTTAGGAGTTTAGGAATTTAGGGTCTAGCGATTCGAGTTCACTGTAGGCGTGCAGGGGGTTAGGGTTGGAGGGATAGCTCTAGCAGATTCCTTCGTACAAAGATTCCTTGCATTCAGGATTGTGGGTTTTAATTTCAATTGAAAATGGGCATATAGAAACTGCCCTGCAGCTCCAACCTTCGCAAAAATGGAAGCTTTCCCTTCTCCCCTCCCTCCAAGAAGTTCCTCCATCCATTCCATCCGTCGCTTCCGCACTCCCCAGGTTCTGACCTCGGCTCTCTCCTTCTTGAAGCATGCTATAGGGACACATGTAGGGACTATGTAGGCTGTACGGTTAGAGGTTTAGGCCTTAGGGTCAAAAAACTGGCTTCCTGTAGATTTTGGAATCTTGAATCTTCACCCAAAGAAACAACCCTTCAAGTAAAAGCCTAGGCTCTCTTGGTATGGGCTTTGTGGTGCTTAGCCCCAAGCCCCCAAAACTTTTCCAAGCGCGGCAAAGAGGCCCAGCAAACTCAGCAGCGTGGCCACACGGTCACTGAGGGAATCTCCAAGTAGCCTGGGTCGCACTTAAGGCACGCAAATTTAGTACCTCGAGAACTTTGGCTTCCAATTCAGGTTTCAGCGAAATCTCATTTATGTTTCCATTTGATTCTCCAACTTGGCAACATCATTTAAGTCCCGTAACAGCAGCCCAGTAACAGTGCCAACGAAATCAAGGCATGCTTCCGGAGGACCTGGCCAGTCCTTTGTCAAAGAGCTCAGGAATGAGGGTATGGTAAGTTGTCAAAATCATGGCCCTTTTTGGGTCCCTAGCATATTACGGCCCCCAAGGAGGTTCCCTGGCAAGGGACGGAGAATCCGCCATGTAGGGTTGTAGGTGTTGTTCTTCGACTTTTTGCCGGGCAAAGCCTATGCATCTGAAATTGCTTTGTTTCATGTTCCCTGGCGCTTGCCTGAATTAAAAGCTGACTTCATCTTTGTCACCGCAGTTCTCAGTATCTGACACATGATCAGATTGATTTTGACTGCTTAGAGTTTAGGATTCGACTAAGCATGTTGCAATTGAGGTCTCTTTCGCACCCGCTTAGCTTCATCCAGCTTGCAGGGAAGAGGACAAAATTTGGGGATGCAGCCCCCAAGGCTGAGGGTAAGGACCCAGGCGTAAGTTCCTCGACATTGAAAATCTCAACCTAGAAGATTCAGTTGGTAAGGGTTTGCTTTGCACCGAAATGGTCAAAGAAGTGCAAGTGGGCCAGGACTCCGTAGCTGAATTACATGGGAAATTGACTGGTGGTCTGCAACCGCTGCTGGTAATAATGCAGAAGCAGGAGCAAACACACACACTCTTCACTCACCAACAGGTCTTTCTCAAATGACCCGCAGAGCGTCTTTGCCGCATCCAGGTCCAGGAACACCGCAGTGAGAAAGGCAGACGCTGGTCCCTCCAAAGCCTTGCAGTCTAGCTCCTAACTCCTCAACCCAAAGAGCCCAGCGCAACACCCGCAAACCCCAAGCCAAAGGCAGGCAAGGCAAACGCAAGCTTGGGTGGGGGGGCCTGAGAGCCCAAGGAGAAGGGCCCCTGCAGCTCAGACAGGAACTCACCTTCCATCATGAGCTCATCGCCAGCCTGACGGGTGTAGCTGGGGAGTTCCCAAAATGAGTGAGTGAGTGATTGATTGAGTGGGGGCTTACAAGTCTTTTCGATTTTGGGTTCCCGTTGGAAACTACCAATGTAAGGCTGGAGAAGGAAGGTTTAGGTTCTCCTGGGCCCGAGATACCAAAGAAGGTAAGGGCTGAGGTCAAGGTTTTGGTTGGAGCCCATGATGCACGGAAGCTTCCAGAGGCATGGATGCCATAAGGGAGAAACGCCTACGCATACAAGCTGCGGAACATCCCAGCTACGCAGGCAAACTTTGCTACCTCAAAGAGCAGTTGCTCAGAGCTATCAAGCAAGGAGTTCCCACCTCTGCACACATCTCCCGGATCCTGCCAAGCAACTGCGACACCTGGCATGCTTCAGAACTAGCCTATAGGACAGTTCCATGAATTCAGGCACATGATACGAGCAGAAATGGGTGGCACCTGACGCGTGGAAAAAACGATTTCGGCATGCTCCATAAACAAAAAAGTGTGGCGTCGGTGGCCACAACCCCCCCTTTGACAAGAAGTCCAACAAGTGGATTACCCACAGAACGCAGCACCTGCATTATATGACAGTACCTCAAGATCATGCAGCCAAGTCTGAATACCATTCCCCGTCTGTAGTTTTAGGCCAGTCACCGCCAAGCCAGCATGCCGTCTGAAGCCTCAGACGCTGATTGTCTGGCGGGCTAGGCTTTTTGCATTTGGATTGACGCCTTGCTGCTGGAAAAGGTTTGGTGGCATCAAAGTCATGGTATCTTCAATGGCTTGAGCACAGCAAGCGAAACTGTAAAGGCCACTAAGGAGTTGCTGGCAAGGGCCATTGAAAGGGAATGAGGCAAGGCCATGACTGGCTGCAATTCCAAGCAATCCGACTGTACTTCGAAAAGCGAAAAGCGATGTCAGTATTCATTGGTCTTACACTGCGCTCTGGAAGACAATTGCCGAAAGTCTTTAGCAACATCAACCCCCTTTTTTAGTCAAACACAGGCAAGACTGAACAAAACAAGGAAATCAGCAACCAGTGTCACAAAAAGAGGCACATCTGCCTAAACCTATGATTTGTTTTGCCACTAGACAAGTCCGCAAAGAAAGAATTCTTACCACTACACTCCCCTTCCTTCCATCAGCCAGTTGTCATGTCCCTACGTGACTGGGCTCACTCCTGCATCCTCAAGTTAAAAAAAAAATCCAAAGGGTAGACTCAGGGGTTTCCCCAAGTTGGGGATACCTTTTAGGGGTCCCAATAATCGGGATTATAGAATTTGGGTGTCTATATTTGGGACGCCCTGGTTAAGGAAACTGCTACTTCCTGTGGGCCCCAAACAGGGAACTGTACTGAGGAAGGAACCTCTGTTAGGGGGTCCGTTTGTTGAGACAAAGGAAAATGTTCCAACATCGGGGGGCCCCAATGTTGCCCCTAAAATGCTAAGTTCCTTAGTATTGGGACCCAAAAAGGGTACCCCTGATGGGGTGGAACCTTCAATATCTTTTTGGGGGCTTCTGGGGATCTGCCCAGTCAAGGCACGAACTGCAGCACTGCGGCTACGTCGCGCTCGAGATTCAGCAGCAAGGCGCCGCACACGCTCCTCATGGGAGTGGTTTGAGTCCACGACTTAGGGTCTAGGGCTTCAAGGCTACAACTGCCTCACGCATCTTCCGGGCATAGTCTTGGCCAATTGATGTGTTTCCCAGTAGCTTAACGATGAAGGCTAAAACCATATGAGAAGAACAGCCACTGACATTTCACAGAAAGCCCATCCTCTGCTGTCTGGAGCGCCTCCTGGGAAAACCAGCAGGACAGCGTTGATAAGCAAAAGCATCAGAAAGCTGAAAGGTAGCGTTGATAAGTAGAAGACATGCGAAAACAGAACAAGCCCATCCTAAGAATCTACGCTCCCACCCTTCGCGTGGTGCGTGTGCTGCGCAAGCAGAAGTTTATCATTTTGTGGGCCAAGCGCTCCTTGATGGCAGAGTCGGGAACTGTGAGGGCACTGTACTCTGCTGCAGCCACCAAGGTCTTGGCATCATAAGTCCCTTGGAAACATTTCTGCAGCGAATGGAGCAAAACCGACACCTCGGAGGCCCCTCCGTTGTTGGTGGGGATGGTCTTCATGTCCACCTCAAGTACGAAAGCTGCCAGTATTCTCAGCATCAGGATCCGCGGGCATGGGGCAGACAGCACCGCCTGCCAGCACTGCAAGGCAGCATCGATTGGCATACACCCTGCCAGAAGCGTGCACAAAGGCTTGGAGAAGAGCAGCGCCGGCGAGTAGCCCCGCAACGCGCGGAGTTTTGCAGCTCGCTTGGCGTCCAGCTCGCCGACAAGCCAGTCTGTACAATCGGAGTCCACGAGAACTCCTTGAAGTGAGCCACCTTTCAGGAAGTGACCTGCCAGGTTCTCAGACAAGGCAGCCAGGCACCAGAACGCATCATCCCGAGGCATCACCGAGCAAAGAACAGCCGCAGTGAAGTTCAGGCCCTGTGTGTAGCCCGTGTCCCTGTTCCGGGCGCAACACAACATGCGCAGTATATCACGCGCCGCAATTTGCAGAGCAGCCTCTCTGGGATGACCTGGAAATGTGCGACGCATGTCAAGGTCAATTTCCTCCGCGATGCGCTGTCGCAGCCGCTGAGCCTTTGGCCTCGTGTCTCCTGAGCCCAGTGCCACCCCTGATAGCCAGCGCAGCCCCACGAGGTAGTTCTTGTCAGTCATGCCCTCCAGCAGCAGGTCCCCCATCACCCAACTCCTGACGAACAGCCCACAAACGACTTAGGAGCACCCTTCTGCCAGGACCTGACAGATTGCAGAAACAGACGCCACCTCCCAAGAGGCAAGTGCCGTTATCAAGACCCTGGCCTAATAATCCACGAGCTTTCAGATAGCACCCCTCATTTTGACAATCATCAATCTTGCGCATCCTGAGGTCTTCACCCGAAAGCCCAGACCGCCTCTCCTGAAGCCTCCTTGTGCCTGCACATCCTCGACCCAGGCCTGCCAAAATGTGTGAGTTGGGGTTCACGGTTCTTCTGGGATCCAAGAGACGAGATTTGGGGATTCAATTGTCTTTCAGAGTTTTCAGCCTGAAGGTCCAAAGCTTGGGCTGGGCGCGTGGAGGATTTTCATTTGCATTGTGCGGCAGGTAAATGTGAGGGCCTTCAGGGCCTGCAGCGTTATGTTCATCCAAGATGTAACTGCAACCCGCTCACCTCAAGCCCTGTTGCTGGCAAAGGCTGCCTTAGCCTGGCTGATTACGACACCCACTCCACTTTCGACATGTCTTCAGGCTTCCGCAAAGATAGGCTGCAGGCATGAGCCTTGAATCTGAGTTCCTAGTCTCCGAATCTGATTCAAGCCAACGCCGAGGAAAAGTAGTTCTTATGTGATGGAAATTCTCTTCTCTCTGTTTGAAGACAATGGCCTGACGGCCGCCGCTGGTTATCCAGGCCCGGTGAGCCTGGAAAAACCGCACATGCTCACTCTGGGAAAGTTGGGGGCCGTGATATTCTTTTCTATGTGCTGAGTGAACTGAAGGCATTCCTTACATGTTGCTATCACTGACGATTTCCACAAGGAAATCTGGGAATGCAGTCTGCAGACTGTTGCTAAAATTGCTCTGACATTCGGCTTTTCCGAGATGTGATGTGAGCATCTTTTTCATGATGTTTGACCTGGGAGGCCCCTCCTTCTTGGGCAATCCTTATACAATCCCTATATCTCCCTTTAAAGGACCTAGCGTGGTGTTCATTTCATGTTCCATTCTTTTTTGTATTTGATTCTCCAATATCCCAGGATTTTAACTTCCACACCTCGGCATCATCCACTGGGAACAGCCATTCCTCTGCTTGCATCAGCTCATGAGACCAATGGACCAGTGCTGGTATATGAAAGGCTAGGACAAATTGTTCATGAGGCTATGAGGGAGTCCTACGTGCTTTCTTTCTGACCAGATGGGTTCACCTTCTACAACCTAGAAGTTTTGCTAACCAATCATGATGCAAAGCCATTAGCCTAACAAATGAAGCCAAAGGTTGGGACATACTATAATACGAGTATATCCTTTGAGATGACAGGGCCCGTCAGATTACAGGCCTCACCTGGAACCTTGAAACTGCTGACCTCTGATGTGCCTCCACCAAGGATGTGCCAAACTCTTGTTGTATTTGTTCCTCCCCGATTCCTCACCTAAAGCAAGTTGCATCCAGGTATTCGTAGCATCGGAAACTCACTGCACCCCAAGTCGTGGCTCGCGACCTGGCAGAAGCTGCATGGGACTCTCAAACATTCGTTGACAGGTTCTGCCCTGGACTGAACCCCTCACTGTCCCAGAAGATTCCTTGTAAATAGGAGTTTCCCAAGATTAGGGGTCCATGGTTGGGGGTCCCCATAATAAGGATCACTATATATTGGGGTCATATTAAGGTTCCCCTATTTTGGGAAACTACCCAATGCTGGCTGCACAGGTATCAGTTGTGTTGTCAGAGAAAAGTCACCGGACAGGGGATGTTTGCGAGCCTAGCTTGCGGCACCCAACCCCAACCCACAAGTGACCCTATTGCCTTAACCCTATGTGGTGAACCGCCACCCTTTCGCTATGTCATTCCCATCCCTGAAAATGCGCCAAAAAAAACCTCGCATCATCCGTGTAGAGCCTCTCAGTGACACCAATTCACTCTTCTTTCCATGCCCCTTAAATACCATACACACCAATTTCTGACGTGAAAAGCTAGCCTGCCAGGCGCTTGCAAGAAATAGGTGCTCTTGTTGTTAGAGGGCAGGGGCTTGAAGACACTAAATACCAGAATCTGGCGTACCTGACTTTCTCAAAATTTGGATCCCCTAGCAGCAGTCCCAAGTTAATTAAGCCTTTGTGTCAGGGACCTTTAAAGCCTTTGTTGGAAGGCACCCATGATTTTGATGAACTCCAACCTGGCCTCTCCGAGATCTGTAGTCCGGAGTGTGGCCGACTAGCGGGGAGTCGCAGCTCAGGTACAACCTTGGGGTAATATTGGGGTAATACTGGGATAATGGAAAATAAAATGGAAACTACTATATAGTGGGGATATATAGGGTTTAGGGTATATATATATATATTGGGGTAATATTGGTACAACCTTGGGGAAAAGGTTTGGTCGAGCACAGGGTTGCGCAGGGTTTGATTTGTTAAGATTTGCTCTGGCTGCTGAGGCTTCACACAGTTCGTGGGCTTTCTACGGCTGAGATGGGGCTGTTGTGAAGCTGTCGTCGAGGCATTGCATGATGCTCTGTCAAACAATGCACCCAGTACAAACAGAATCAGACTCTTACTGTCAAAAAGAAATGGAATAGTAAAAGGGTAAGAGCAACAGTTATCAAAGAAAACTATTGTGCAGGAATTCCATGATCACACTAGAATTGATCATTCTGGTTCTGCGCATATATTGTTCATAGTGCCAAAGAACGATTACAAGTCTAATCAACATATTACATGTTATAACACTAGATTGCCGACAAAAAACATATGAGTGAGAGGACTCTTGGCAAGTAGTGCCAACAAGCTACAAGCGGCTGGCATGAGCAGAAAACAAAAGGAGACTGCCAAAACAAAAATCAGTACATGCACTTCTTTTTGAAGCAGAACTCCAATGACGGGCTTTTGGTAATCCCAGCCCCGAAAATTTGGACCCCATGATTCCCATGCGACTATAATAGAGTCCTGATTTGGGGGTTGGGGTTACCAAAGCCCTCTTGGCACCTATAAACATCCCTATATAGACTCTTATAATCCTTATACAGACCCGCATGAGCTGAATCCTGTCAAGCTGGGGCAATGCCAGCTAAAATGAGAAGCAAGCGTGCTAGCAAGCTCATCTTTCAGAAAGCTAGCAAGATCCAGAAGCGCGCGCTTGGCAACCCCAATCCTGAACCCGTAATGGGGGTTTCTTAAAACCAAGGATCCATTTTGAGTGGTCCTAGACAAGGACTACAGCATTTTGGGGGGTGCCCAGGCAGGATCCTTGATGTGTTGTCCACGCCAAATCCCAAATCCATCATGCTTCCTTGGCTTGGCCCCCAATCCACACCCCACTCATACTATTCCCCTGATGTATGGGTGTTACCCAAAATCAGGGTACCTTTTATAAGGTCCCGGACTTGAGTATTTTGGGGTGTGAGTTGGGGTCCTCCTTTATAGGGGAACTATCATATGGTACCACAAGGGGTGGGGCTCATCATAAGCCGGAGGAGATTCGCCAAATAACCTGGAAATCGCTATTGGAGCTGGCAGTAGTCGCACTGCGTGGACGGCTTGGCAACATGGCGCCATGTGGTTGAGCAAAGGGGGGCTTCTTGTGCTGAAGGCTCAAGATTGCAGGGGTCTAGGGCTGTTTGGGAATCAGAGTCTAGGGTCACTCGTTAAGATCCTAGGAATCCAGAAGGACTTTGATAGGATTCTGGTGCTCTCTCTGCAATTTGTAACCCTAAGGCGTGGGATTCGGGGCATGGCTCTTCAACATTCACATGTACTCTCAAGCCACGGAGCTTTGCGTGCAAACTGCTCCACAGCTGATTGGGTGTCAAGCCGCGCCAGTCTTGTGATACCGAGGAGAAAGTGCCAGCATACTTTCGTGTAAGGCATCAATGTTAAGACAATTTGTTCACACCAACACCACTCCCAGTACAAGTGCTCTTCTCTGCTGAAACATCTTAAACATTGGTTCTGCGAATGCACCGTTATCCTTCAAAGCGGACCCACCCCTTCGTACAAGGACACCCTGATGTTGAGACAGCCTGCTCACTGTGGTGCCTCAGTTGCTTTGGAAGCCTTGTGGAGCAATTGCAGCTCTGCAATGTCCTGCACTCAAAAGCTAGCAAGTGATTTACTGTGATTTTCCCGCTAAAACTACCGAAAACAGAGGATCCTGAATAAATGGGACCTCAAAACAACCTCTGATTGCAGCTCATAGCATGCTCCGGAATATTCATTGTGCTTGTGAGGGATCATAGCCGAACGACATTCTATAATTCTTATGAGGGAACCCCCAAACAGGGATCCCTAATTTTGGGATTCAGTTTCAATTTCATGTTCCATGTTTCTTTTTCAATGTGATTTTCCTAAACCTCGGTTCGGCACCCGGACCAGTATGCGGCTTGTTATTGGGGGTGATACCCCTTTTCGGAAACCCCCAACTTTCACCAACAACTAGCCGCATCCTTCATGACCGCGACATGTTTTGGTCGCTGCCAGCGACTTGCTACTTGGGCCCTTCTTGAATTGGTGGGCATAGCCTTCGCTAGGGAGAACTGCAGTATAGCTTTGAAGACGATCCTGGACCCCATTTTGGATCACCTTCTATGTCTCTCATCTCGGCCTCGGGCAAAAAGTCTCCAGAAAATGTCTCTGCACACCCAGGCCAGCGCGGCAGATCTCCAATCGAGTTGCTATTGAGACCCTCAAGGAGTGGAAGCCTATGCAACAGCCAACGCCATGTCAAAATACGCTATGCCCAGAAATGGCGGTCCCAAAACCATAAAGCCCTGCTTCAATCAACCCCGAACAGATTGGTACCTGTAGTAGTTATTTTCCGTTATCCCTATATATAATGCCCAATAGAACCCCAATATTGCCCTAATACCCAAACATTTGTGCGAAGCTCCTTGCGCTTCTTGCCAGGCGTGGCCGGACCTGTCGCAGGAACATAGGCACACTGCGGATGCAAACTCAATCTTAATTTTTCCCATATGAAAGGGAGGGAAGTGGGCCCAAAGAAGGTAAACATACTTCCTCATTCTTTCTGAAGTCCCCCTGGGGCTACCCCACAAAGCCTACCATAAGCCCAAAGCAGAATTGGACGTAAAGGTCCCCTCAAAATGCATACGTGCGCCAACGAAATCGTAATGTCATAGCGCATGCCTGTGCAACCTTTGTCCCATGCTGGGCTTACCATGGAATTTTGCCTTAGACCCTTGACCAGCCAGCTTTCTGACCAAATACTTCGCCATCTTGGAACCTATTGACATCTGCCCATGCTGCGTGTCCTGCACACCAGGCTCTGTTTACACACAATCAAGGCGACAATCAAAGCCAAATACCCGCAAACTGAGGCCCAACAAAGCAAAGGCGCCTCTAGGCCCAGGCTGTACCACCACAGCCATTAATCGGAGGGCCTTGCAACTGGGCACAGGGGCCTCTATTCTAGATCATGGTGAAGGAAATGATGCGGCACAACTAGACCAGCAACCCAAAGTACTCATGGCTTCAGGGATACAAGGCACAAGTGCCAGCCTTTCAGCTTTCAGGAACCATTTTGAGTGTGAGCACCATGCGTTCGTAGCATGCAAGCGTGACAAGTCAGAGATCAGCCGGGCACACATCATCCTGAGACTGAGTGACTGAAATGTAGGCAAAAGAGGGTGCAGAATCGAAAGAATGCCCTGCAAAGTGCAGAGTGCAGTGGGCAAGTCGTCCGTCGTCAGGCACTGACCAATTTGGCAAACCCTCCATCCAGTCCAACCAGTGGAGTTGTGCAAGAGGCGCAAACGGCCCACACAAGCGGGTGGCTAATGATGCATTTCCACGGGTCCCAAGTACCAAGATGATGCAAGGGGCGATGTTCATTCTGATGATGGCAGTGTCGACCCTTGTTGCACCCTAGGCTCCCTATCTGCAGTTTTGCCAGCTATGTCTTGCAAACTCTGTTGCATGCACCCCTTGCGCGAAGTCTGCTGAATGAAGTTGGCAGTTTCTGAGCTCCCCGGCAGTCTCGCTGTAGCGAGGAAGTCGGACCGCCTTTCCAGGCACAAGTTGCCTGGAAGCCAAGCTTGGATTCGGGACAGGCATGAACGTAGTAGTGCCTGTCTTTGGGAGGTTGGGCATAACTTACCGACAACTCAGCGCTCTTGCAAAAGAGCGAACTTGAGCCTTGGACTGTAACAATTGATTCAATTTTCACGAAGCCTTGCATACACTAATTGCTTGCACCTCAGAGTTCTAAGCCGAAGCTGAATGACGGTGCTTACAAAGAGCAAGTCCATGTTGGGAACAAAATGTCCAACAGTTACATTGCTCAGGTCAGCAAAATTAAGAAGGGCATGCATGTTCATGACACGAAGGCATGTGATCACACGCCGCAATCCCTGCACCATCCCAACAAAACTCCTTCCAAAGTTAAAGAGCAACTGCTCATGAATCTGTTCCACCTTCAAAACATCTGATAGCAATGTGTCGTCCTTTCTCATCCACCCGCCCCCCCCTCCCTTTCTTGGACGAAAAACAAACGCAGCTCGCCTCGTCCAAGCCTCTGGAAGCCCGTGCCACGTGTTTGGCTTTTCGTGCTCGGGTAATAAGAGGAATTTTGGTAACCCCAACCCCCCAAATCGCACTCTGCTACAAACAGAATACTCATGATATTCATCGTCGGGGTCTTACTCTGGGGGTTGGAGTAACCGCATTCTATTTTCATTTCTTTGGTTTGGCCCAGAAAAGTGCATTCCATCTTCAATACGCCGTACCCGGTAATAACTGATTAAACGGAGACTATGGTCTTACTCTACATTGGGAACCATAGTATCCTTGCTTAACATACTACTCCATTGCAACATGTTGTGACATGGGGTCTCTTTTTGAGAGTTGTGCGACCATTCTATGAAGGTCGGTTTGCAAGTGGATGTGTAATGCAAGCATGGGGTTATATATGGACGATGACCACTTGGAAGTCTCTCTTTCTGGTTGCAGGGGCATACTGATCACAGCACTGCCTCTCTTCCCCAATAACCAGGGCTCGAAAAGTCAAAACTGTATTGTAGAGATCCAAAAAAAGCCCAGAAAGGTTAAGGTTCTTTCAGTGGCTACGTAAGTTGCAGGAGCTTCCCACAAAAAGGCAACTGACAAATGCCTGTGCGGGAGGTTTGGCAGCTTTACCTCGCACCAATATCACTTCGTCCTCCTTGATCTTTGAAGACAACCAGTGGTAGCACACACGGGAGGCACAAGAGCAAGAAACCCAGCAATCGTAGTGCCAACAGTGATCGAACAAATAATCCTAAGAAGCGGGACAAGAGCAAGGGAAGCAGCAGGAGAAGGATGTTGGAGTTCCAGCCGCTTTGAGTGGGTCTGCTCATTCCCAGTCACCTAAAGAAGAGGTCACTTCATGGTAAACATTGATTTTTTCAATGAGCCTCGAGTTGAGTTTCCTTTATCCTTCAAACGAGAGCCCTTGCTAGCTTTGGAGTGTGGCGATCCTATGTAATGTGGTTTTGCGTCCAGAAGCCTAGGCAAAAGTTTTAGGGGAATCGTCTGCGCAGTCATCATCTTGACACGTGCGTCCGTACCACTTTGAGTTTACCGTCTAACTTTGGGAAACTATACGAAGCCTACAGCAAATCAAAAGCAGGCTCAAGGCTGCACACCACAGTAAATCTCTAGCTTCAATGCCAGACATCTTCTGCTCTGGTGTAGACTGTAACCTTTCGAGGCAGACTACCTGCGGTGGATACTGAATTTCATGCAGGGACACTTGAGCATCCATAACAAATCCAGCACCCTCATCGAAGCCGTAGACCAAGAGACTCCCCTGGCCGACTAAATACCATGGCAATAATGGAGAATGAAGTGGAAAACAAAACTATGAAATCGAAACTGGTTTGTGTAAGGCTACATTTTACGACTATTACTACTAGCAGTACTATTATTATTATTTTTACTATTATTACCGGTATTACTATTATTACCATTATTACTATTATTACTATTGGTAGATAGCCAAACCCAGCCATCCCCAGGGGCCAGGCAATCCTCGGCACCTTTGGGAGTCTGCGTCGGACCGGCCGCGAGGGACCTGGACACTTTTATCCGTGGGTTTCCCAAAATTAGGGGTACCGTATTAATAGGTATAATGAGGATCATGATATGTTGGGGTCTATGTTGGGGTTTCCTGATTTCATCTCACGCTCTCCTATGCTTCTTTTTCCCCTAGTTTTGCTTCTTCTTCTTCTTCAGCAAACTCTTGCTGCCGCCGCCGCTGTTTTTAAATGGTGTCCTCAAGGCTATTTTGTCAACACCACTGGTGCAGTTGACCGTTGTTGCCATTCACGGTGCTGTCTACTGTTGTTGTTGTTGTTGTTGTTGTTGTTGTTGTTGTTGGTGTTGTGGGTGTTAAGTGCGCTTGGATTTGAAGATGTCGAAGATGTGTTTCAAAGGAGCGTTTTGGAGATCCCTGCTCTTTGCTTCTCGGATTCCTGCTGGAAAACAGGACCTAACAAACGCAGGCTTTCAATTCTGGGATCCAGAGAGGGAGATCAGTGCTGGTCCGACCTCGACACCCACGGGAAGCCGCCATGGCCGTATGCAGCAATGTGATGCTAGGATGCTGCAACTCACAAGTTTGATCAGCCTTTAAAAGCCTATCTTATTTTGGATAGGGCACGATGGGGTGCCCAAGTAGCAGCTAAGTTGCCAGCTAGATCCCGAGGTCTGCAGATTCATGCGCTCGAAGGGTTTAAGGGGCCAAGGCCCAAGAAGAGCAGGTGCCGGTAGCAGATGCTTCTTCTAGCTACTGCAATCCATCGAAGAACGCATCTCATACCCCCTTGCAATCCTTTAGCGAAGTGATTTGACCTACGGCTCGCTCATGGAAGCCAACTCCTTTGCATCTCTGACCCTGAGACACACATCTCCTCAAGCCAAAGCTTGCCAGGAAACTGCTGTGGGGCGCATGTTCGGCTACAACAGAACGTGATTTCCACAAAAAATTATTAACTCCGACCCCTCAAAGACGAATGCGAAGTGCTATCAGGGTAGCTTTGCATCTGCAAGCACCCACGTCGCCAAAACCGTAGGGCCAGACAGGTTGAGAAATGGACGGTCCTTGTGCATGCTCACAAGATGAATGTGAGAATTCAGCTGGCGCAAGGTAAAGCATTTGCACTCCATGACTGGCTTGTAAGCGATATTCTCATTGGCTAGGCGCTGTCAGCGCAACTCTTACAGGGTCTGGCGGCGCTGCTGTGCACCTGGACTCCTAGACTCAAGTTCGCCAAGTTGGGGACTCTCCCCGTGTGGTCGTTTTTGAGAAACCCCCATGTACAACAAGACCGGGACATGAACCGGGCCAGCAGCGCTCACCCTAGACAGATAAGCCGGGCTCAGGTGGCCCGAATTGTACCAGCAAAGACCGAAAGCAGATGGTTGGCTCGACTGTGGGAAATTCAGGGTAGAGGAGAAGGAAAGGATAAAGCAATTGCTGCTGCAGAATACCCACTAGTGGGACAGGAGGGAGGGTGATGCATGGCTGTTTGTAGGAATCATGGACTTGCCTATCATTCGGCTGGCAAATTCAACCACCTCCACTCCCTGCTTCTCACTAGGGGGTGAGGGAATGCATCCGACATATACTTCTGTAAGGAACTTCCCTACGGCAATCCTTGCGCATGCGTAGCTCTGTGATGGGGGCGCAGGGCCTGCCAGGCCGAGCCCCTTCTCATGGTCCTTTTGAAAGCTGACAAGTAGGGGATATGGGAATGTTGGGGTCGGGAAGAGAACATGCAAACTACAACATTATAACTATAACAACCATCACAAGCTTGCAGTCGTGGTCTCCGCTGGACGCTACAACTAGGCACTTGCACAGCCTCTGTTGCAAGGTCTGGCAGGCGCTGCTATTCCCGATGAGAATGGTACAAGTGTAGGCCAGCAACGCCTGCCCTGGACAGAACCGGGCTCAGCTGGCCCGAATTGCCTGTGGTTCGCTAGGCAACTTTAAACCTCTGGCATGTCGCCGATCGTTTCCTGCTTTATAAGTGCATGAAACTGCTCCTTGACCGCGTCGCCTATCCAGGTCACCATGGCGGCCTTCACATGATTATTGACTTGCTTGAAGCCAGCGGTCGTCCGGATCTGTTCCTTCACCTCCGAGGTGTCTGAAGCTGGACTACTGAATATAGGGGTTATGTAGGGATTATACAGGCGGGTATACAGGGTTATATTGGGATAATGGAAAAGAAAATGGCAACTACTGTTTAGGAGTATAAAATGAGGGTATATAATATTCAAGGGTTGGGGTCTTGGGTGGGGGGGACGATGCTGCTGACGCTGCATCGTCAGGTGGGTTCCAATCGCGTGCACTGGAAAACTCAGAACCGGGTAGCGCGCGACTGTTGGTTCACAAACCTATCTGAACGCCAAACTGTCTTGCCGTTGGTTCATATGGAATTGTCCATATGTAGGGGGCCCCAATAAAAAGCCCATATGCTGAAATCCTCATTCTAGACATCCCCCAAGGGATCCCCAACTTTTTCATCTGAAATTGCGAAGGTCTGCTTACCGTGCGACAAACAATGCCTTGTCTTCGTCCGCCTTGGAGTATGCAACTGCGTTCTCAGAATCCACGTTCTTCAGGGACTTCGTGACTTCCTAGGTTTGGGTACACTCCTTGAACATGAAAATGATTACTACCATTAACTTGGGGGGCTTGAACGCAGCATCGTACAGATGTAAGTATGCAGTCAATCGTGAATTTGCTGCGTCGAAAGGATTTGCAAACAGGTTGGCCATCTGAAGTGGATAACAGAGTATATACACATGATAAGCCTATCATTGATGTCTTAAATTACCCAAGCCCAACTTATTGCAGGAATGGCTCCTGGATGCCGCTCTCTCCCGCAGCGATTTGCCGCTGCACAGAGACCATGGCAGATTGGGGCATGGCGAAGCTCACTGGGATCCTTGGCCGGCTGAGGGCTCAGGATGTCAAAGTTAGGCATCCCCTTCTGAGGGTTCCCTATTAAGAGTGCTGATGCTGGGCTTGGTTCTTCTCAATATTGTCTCTGGTTTGCTGGTTTTGGGGGGCGTCACGTAATGACCCCTGATTTCAAACTGGGCTTCTGCTTTGAAATGCTCAAGGTCTTCCGAACTGTCTCGCTCAAGTAGCGCAAGTCTTTCAACAAGGCAAGGCCTTAACGTTCGGGATGCACTCCTCGGGCCCGTTTGAGACTTTCTCAACTCAGAGAAGCATCTGCATGCTCGACGCCATGAACTGCTCGTATATCGTCCAAATTCTGCTCAAATACACAGGCCTGGGCTGTTGTTGGGGAACCACGCTATGTCCAACGCTGCTGCTACTAAATGATACTGCTGTACTTCTTCTGCTGCTACTACCACAACGAACAACAACATCAAATACACAGGCCTGTCCCAGGTATCCAAGATGGCAACCATCCTTCCAGCACGGGTCAGGTTTGTCTTAAAGGTCTCCTCCAAGTTCTCGCTGCCAACAGCAGACTTCTCCACCAGGATCCGAAACTGATTGTTCACGAAAAAACACATGTAGAAGAAGACGTTGTCGGGAGAAATGGTCACTCCTGCGGCAGCTGAGGTATCTTGATACGTTGTCAAAGCGCTTTGGATCTGCTCCAAGGTGTAGGCCCACGTCCTATGCCCGGCTTGGAGGCAGGCTACAACAATGAATGACTTTGTGTCAGCACGTGTATAGCCCGCATAGTACTATGGCTGTATAGGGATTATTTGAAATTAAAACATGTAACACAGGAACTTGTTGCCAGATCTACACCAGGGTCCAAGACATGAAGTGGGTGATCCGGAGCCGTTCAGCTTTAGGCACCCAATCCACCAGGGCACATCCAGGTCGACCATCGCGCGGGCACTGTATGAGCTTCCCGATTGGGTCGCTGCAAAGCCAAAATTTCTCCTTCACCGAACCCAAAAACACAAAGGAACATGTAGAGAGCATAGAATAAACTCTCCACAAGAAGATCCTGCTTCGTGAGTGCTTTGAAGCCCTGCGCCTTCATGTCATAGAACGTGGGGTTTGCCTTGCCGGTGCGCTGCGATGCCAGGCTTGCAAAGTCTTGGCCAAGGAGGTATCGCATGCATATGCCTCCAGGATTTTCGCGTCATGGGGTTCGCTGGGGAATTTGAAAAAGCTCTTCACCTCCTGCCGCGCCCAAACAACCCTTGTACACCTGCTGCGCAGCTAAACATGCGAAGTCCACCGCGGCTGGAGGCGTTTATATCCAGGTCCGGAGAGTAGGAGAATAAGGTCTTCTAGAGAGGCCAGGAGAGGTTTGGCTGGTCGGCTGGGTTCCGCACAGGCTGGAGTAGGTTTGAAATGCAGACCTAAACGCGTGAGAACGCCAGCGACGCCCAACTGGGGGCAGGGGGGCCGGGGGGGGCGGCTGAGGGAGGGGTCGGTTGGGGTGGCTGTGTTTTGCTCTCTCGCCTCAACCACTTGCCGAGCGGTCTCGCGTTAGCGACTAATTACAATCTTTCACGGGCATGTGAGCCTTCGAAACATGATATAAATTCCAAACACTTTTTTTGCTGTGCTGCAAAGACGGAACCACGGCATCGACAGCTACAAACCACAGCCGCCTATGCATGTGTGCATGCTGGGCTCCGCGCGCATCTTTCTGTCGTTCTGTCAAGTGAGCAACAATGCAACACTCTGCCTTCCAAAGCCTCCCAGCACCCCTGAGAACTTACTCTCCAGGCACGATCTCCGATTTTCTCGGACAATCTCATGACAAGTTGAGAGCTGATGAGATGCAGCTTGAAGATTGGGATTCCCCTTTTGAGCTCCCTGATGTGCCTGAGGTCTCGCTTTGCCGCCTACGCATCTCAGCAGCCTCCTTGTCCACATCTGCGAGGCTGTATCCAAGGCGTCCCAATCGAGCCTTGTGGTCATTGAGAGTTTCAGGCCCCTCCAACCACAAGTCATCATACATTGCATCCATGGCATGCTGAGTCTGCTTGGCTCGCCGCTTCCTTCTGCAAACGATCCAGATACGTGCTGCCACTACAGTAGACACAAAGCCTACTGTGATGAGTGGAAGGTGCCACCACAGACATTGGTTGTCATAGAGCAAGAGTGGTGGAGCGCATGGCTCACAGGAGTCTTGGCTCGACAAGAACTTTGGAGGACAATCTGCGTATGCACTCTGATCTGCCAGAGGTATGCTTTGTGGGCTGCATGTTTCGCAAAAAGCTGCCCCGTATGCCGAGAATCTTCCCGATGGGCATGGTTCGCATTCCTTGCCCGAGGCAGAAGAAGCAAAGCCTGCTCGACAAGGTGGCGAGTCTCCAAACAGGCTCACGCTCCTGAGGGTGTTCAAAATGACGGAACACTCAAGAACCCTTGAAAATCATTCGGGTCTGCTGTGAGGCCTAGTCAATTATGTCCCTACAGAACAGAACTCTGAACACGGATCCGGAAATCAACTCTGTGAGCTCCATATATGCCCAGACCAGGCTAGGGTCCCAACAGTCCCGATATTGAGCAACCCCATTTTGAGGATGTTTATTCTTGAAGCGTCCATCCTGGAAGTTTCCAGGAAGTCAAGGGTTGATTAAAGGCATCTGCGTCCAGGAACATGTCGGTCATGGCTATCACAGCGGATGTATTCCATGAAGCCACTGGGTGATTAAAAGCCGTGGCACCGCGAAACATGTGGCTCATTGCCAAGACACCCGATGTGCTCCATGAACCAATGGGCTGGTGAAAAGTCCTGGCTTTTTTGAACATGGAGTCCATGGTTGTCACAGCAGCCGTATTCCATGAACCAATCGGTTGGTTGAAAGCGCTGGCATCTTCAAACATGTGGCTCATGTCTTCCACAGCAGCTGTGTCCCATGATCCTATTGGTTGATTGAAAAGCCTGGCATTTTGGAACATGGCCCGCATATTCTTCACGGTAGCAGTGTCCCATGAGCCAATTGGCTGATTGAAAGCTGTAGCACTTTGGAACATGGACTCCATACTTCTCACAGCAGCGGTGTTCCATGAGCCAATTGGCTTGTTGAACGCCTTCGCCTCTTGGAACATGGCCTCCATTGTTGTCACGGCTTCCAGGAAGTGAGCGGCTGATTGAAGACACATGCATTCCGAAAAGTGTTCCTCATATGAGTCACAGCAGCTGTATTCCATGAACCAAGCGGTTGGTTGAAAGCGCAGGCATCATCAAACATGTTACTCATTTCAACCACACTGGCCGTGTCCCAAGACCCAATTGACTGATTGAAAGCCCTGGCATTTTGAAACATGGCCTTCATGTTCTTAGTGGAAGCTGTGTCCCACGAGCCTATGGGTTGATCGAAGGCAGAAGCATCATGGAACATTCTTGTCATGTCCGTCACAGCAGCCGTGTTCCATGCACCGAGTGGCTGGTCGAACCTACCAGCACCTGAAAACATTTTTTTCATGGATCTTACGGCTGCCGTGTTCCACGAGCCAATCGGCTGATTGAAAGCACGCGCGTTCCAAAACATCTTGTGCATCTTCGTAACGGCAGCTGTGTCCCATGAACCAATCGGCTGGTTGAAAGCATGTGCCTCCTTGAACATTTCTTCCATGTCAGTGACAGCACTTGTGTTCCATGAGCCAATGGCCTGATTGAACACGTTGTTGTTTGAGAACATTCTCTTCATAGTTCTGACGGAGGCAGTGTTCCAAGATCCAATTGGCTGGTCGAAAGCGAGCGCCCCAGCAAACATGTAGCGCATGCTAGTCACGGCTGCTGTGTTCCAGGCACCGAGCGGTTGATTGAAAACTTTGGCATCAAGGGACATGTAGGTCATCTCATTTACAGACGCTGTATTCCAGGAACCAATCGGCTGGTTAAAAGCACGTGCCTCCCTGAACATGCAAGCCATGCTTGTAACAGCGGATGTGTTCCATGGCCCGATTGGTTGGTTAAAGCTTGCCGTTTTCTCGAACATCCTTTCCATGCTGGTAACAGCTTTTGTGTTCCAAGCATCGATGGACTCGTTGAAGCTGTCCGCGTTGTTGAACATGAAGCTCATATCGGTGACAGCCGCTGTATCCCAACGATCAAGTGGTTGATTGAACGTGTCGGCATTACGAAACATTGAACTCATGTCCATGACGGCAGCTGTATCCCATGACCCAATGGGTTGATTGAAAGCAACTGCGCCGTCAAACATGTGGCCCATGTCCTTCACAGCCGACGTGTTCCATCGGCGGATGTCTTCATTGAAATCTAGATGATCCTTTAAAAGGGCACGCATGCTGGCCACTGCAGAGACAAGGCAGGCTTGTGACTTCTCCAGGCCTGCACAGCCTCGAATAGCTCTGTCCTGCGGCGCAGAAGCTGATGTCTGTCGTTAGCCCGGAACTTGAAATGCTGCGTTTGAGAGTGGGCCTGAACTTAAAAAGTTGTCTGGTCGTGTGACTGTGCTGGGTGAAGGTTGGCACATAGCTTTCTGTGGCCCTAGTCTTGGCTGTTTGAAGTGCCACCTCTCTCCCTGAGCATTGAGGATGCCGTCTGACCTGAAATTTATCAACAACCTGACGATAGAAGCCTACAGCATGCTGTTCCTCAAGCCGCGTCCTTCAAATGTGAAAAGATCCCCAGAATACAGAGGTCCCAACTTGAAGTATCTCGAGATCAAGGACCTACCATCTTGATGCCAAGTCAAGGCTGGGGGTTGTCACGCCGTGCCCGAACGGCCGAACAAATTGTCTTTGACACGAGAACGGACATCCCTCTTGAGGACTCCCCCCGCATTCTTTTTGTGTGACCTGCCCGTTGGTCACTGCCTATCCCTCACTGCCGCACCTTGAACCGAAGCTCTTAAATCCGCTGGTAGGAAATCCGCTGGCGGGGCACCAAAATGCCAGTAGCTGCAGCATGGCGACAAGGGTCATTCTCTGTACCCCTACACCGTGTGCCTGCATGCGACTTGGCACAAATTAAAATTTAATGAGCCCAGATGCTGCGAGGCGAGCAGGCTCACATGCACATTGTTCTTCAGGGCCCTCTGCTGAATTCAACACTCCCTCTTCTCGCATCAAAACCTCACAACTTCCTCGTAAAGGTTGTTCGACCCAGCCAACCAGAATTTGGGAGAAGTGTGCTTGGCGGCCACAGGCAAGCAAGTCAGATCCAAAGAGCTGGACATCCTTCAGCCATCGCATTGTAAGTAGCATCGACAAGTAGAAGTTAGTCTGAACCACCTCTTCAACATCTTTCATGCTCTCAAACCTACTCTAAACAAATTTTGAAGTTGCCCTTGTCGGCTTGAACGAATGCCAGTGTGACTTGAATGCTCCCCTGCCTAGCATCTCACCTGCAACTATGAAAACCAGCAGTGTTAATGCAACACCACACGTGAGGCCTGAACAACAGTTTAAATGACCTAGGCCGCTCTAACTACTCTCAATGGGGCCCATTGCCATCCACTCATTCCTCCCAAAGTCCCAATGCCGTGTGAATTTAGTTGTCTCAATACTCGGGTCCCCATACACCTCAAGTAAATGAGGATCCTCACCACAGAGATCTCAAAGATACATAGTTTTGAAGCCCCGCTGCGTATCCTGGTAAACCTTTTGCGCTGCCAAACTGCGTGGAAACAATCTCTTGGCTGATGCTACTGCAGAGGCCTGTAAATTCAGGAAAGTTGTTGGCTTATAGTTCTCACTTGCATTGTATTGGTTCAAATTTCACGCGTAACCCTTACAAAGTTATGCCGTCAGTCTGAACACATTGACCATCTAGGCCCATGCCCTATCTGCACATCAGGCCGAGAGGAACTTCACGCCTGTCAGAACATGGTTTAGGGTTTAAGATTAAGGGTGTAGGATTTGGAGTTCAGGATTAAGGGTGTAGGATTTAGGGTGTAGGCTTTGGGGTTCAGGATGAAGGGTCTAGGATTTGGGGTTCAGGATTAGGGGTATAGGATTTGGGGTTCAGGATTGAGAATGTAGGATTTGGGGTTCAGGATTGAGGGTGCAGGGTTTAGGGTTCAGGATTCAGGGTGTAGGATTT